TAAACCCTCGACCCTAAACCCTAAATCCTAAACCCTAAATCCTAAACCCTAAATCCTACTGATCATCCCTGGAGGTCGACTTGACCGAACATGCGACAACGTATCTCTTGATCTTCATCTATGCAGGTCGTTTTAAATTAGGGTGTAGGGTTTAGAGTTTAGGGTTGTCCGAACACTTTAGGACCCTTGGGATGAAAAAAAAACATCGTGTAATAGTGGTAGCTCTAGAGTCAGGCCTTCCAATAGCCACAAGAAATAGGAATCATGGTAATGAAAATAACAGGAATAACACTTGGTAGTTTATGGTAGAATCATACTAGCAATAGCAACAATAACCGTAACAATGGTAATGATGATAATAGGAATAAAACAGTTTTACCAATCTCCAAAGCCCTGGCTTTGGTAAGCACTTCGGGAATGGACATCTTATGGGGGCCTTGCAGTAAGAATTAGAATAAGGTTTTTGGGGTATATTTAGTTATACTGAGAAACCTGAAGGAAAAATATGGGTTTTACTTGTTTAAGCATTTAGTTCTCGGGCCCATCAGACAGCCCGAAGCCCTCCAAAGTGCCTGGTCGTTGTAGGACCAACGTAATACTGGATCCTTTCGGTAAGGACGTGGTTTTCCGGCAAGGAGTTCAGCACTTGCGCCTTAGCTCCGCTTCGAGGATGCCATGAGGCTCTGCAGATGTTGGATTCGGGAAGTGCGCGCTGATGTTCCCGTGCTGCCAATTGTAGAACATGGATGCTTCTACAGTCACAACCCCCTGTGAGGACAATTATTTTGGCGATGGCACTGAGAAGCGTGCTGCAAGCGCCAGCGAAAATGTTCATCAAAGTCTAGGCCAAGCCCTCCGACGCCCTGCTACCGGTACGGCGACGACGGTTAAAACCAGTGTAGCATCAGTAGTACTAGCGCAAGAAATTCAACCATGGACCAGCCTAGTGGCCCTTATAACGGAAAAATCACCAGCAGTCGCAGCGGTACGCGTACTTTCAGCAGTACTGGTGGCAGAAGCAGAAGCAGAAGCAGCAGCACTAGCAGTAGCAGTAGCAATTGCGGGAGCACCGGGAGCAGCAGCAGCAGCAGCAGGAGAGGAGGAAGAGGAGCATGGGCAGCTGCAGCCTGAGTAGCTATCGGATTGACAGCCTTACATGGGTCAGGCAAGCAGCCCATCTCGTCGCTCGCTCGAGCGGAGAACCGGTGACAAACACAATGTCCGCCTGAATGGGTAATCAGCTCCAGACTCTAGACTCGCTTTAGCGTAGGATATGACCTGCTCTGTTTGATGGCTGCAGTGTATGGGTGGGTCTGCGTCTGTGTGCTAACCCCAAACCCCCAACCCCAATGCCTCTAACCCCATGTTCTTATAGAACCCTTTTTCCAGCAACCCATAGTAGCCCTTCAATACACGACCGGGACCCTTAAGGAGATCCCTTGAACAAGCCCTTATAAGTCCTGAACCCTAAACCCAAAGCCTTTAAGAATGAACACTTCAGCTCCCTTGGGCTCTCGGTGTCTCGAGCCTTTGGGGGGCCAACGAGCCTCAGGCTATGGGTTTAATTAGGGTTTGAAGCTTAGGGACTAAGGTTCAGAGTTGAGGGCTTAGGATTTAAGCTTTAGATTTGGGTTTTCGGGTGGAGTTCACAAAGCCAGGCCTCCAGCGTAGGCGAGGCATTGAGATGCTGATGGAGTAGCCACAGCGACGCTTCGTCATCGATCTCCTGGCATGAAGTAAGGCTTCAACAAATGCAGGGTTGAATGTAGATCCCCGCGCTGTCATTGTGGTCGGACGACCTCGTTGCATAACAGTCACGGACATCGTTGGTAGTTCGTAAAGTAGCAGGATATTCTGAGCTCTTCTTCGTCGTCCTAGTGCAGATATATAGTCGGTCCTGCCTGCCGCAATTGTCAGTGATGACTATCAGATCATCTCCCACTTGTGAGCGTCACGACTACAATGTTGCATCTCTGGTCCCTGGTTATCGCCACCGTGCATTGTGTTCTTCGACATTGGGCGTAATGTAGTGGCCTTAATAATTACAATAGGGTTTTCGGGCCCAATATACTGTCATTATAATAAGGAGCCCCCACAATAATATAGGTAATTATTGAGGCCCCTACATTAGGTTCATCAGATCCAAGTCCAACGAAAAGTCTCGCGTGCTGGTACCGGGTCGATGCAGACCCAATATGGTTTTGCACCTACATCTTGCAAGGTTTAGGCTTTAGGGTTTAGGGTCAGAACTGGCACAGGATTCATGAAATCCTGAATTCTCGAGGCGATGTGAGACCACATAGCAGAACAACAGGAGTTTCAAGTCACGGAAGTGTAACAGTACCAACACGGAAATCCTCCTGACTCTCTTTGCCCTCGAAGCTTCCACAAACCCTTCGTGGTTGGGGGTCGGAGAAGTAAAAGGAACAAAATTCAAATCCTTGGGGCGCCTCTCCGACGTCCGTAAGGACCAGCATTCTAGGCCCGGTTCCGCTAGGCAAGACGACCGCACCCTCTGAAACTGGCACCTGAAGGGGCAGGGGTTTAGGCTAAACAGTTGCAAGTTGCCAGCAGCTTACGATTGCTACGATTCCTGCGGTGACCGCTGGTGCGAATCATGTAGTCAAAGATAGTCATGAGAAGAACAAGAAAAAGAATGAAGTGACGCGACAGCAGCAACGAGAGAAGTGAGAGTGGGAAACCTTTAATCTTTAATGGTAATAGCAGTACAGTGGCAGCAGGAGTAGCAATCGTAGACCTACACTGCCTATACTCCTCCTCCTGTATTCCTGCTCAGCTACTCCTGCTCCTGTACCCCTGTTCCGAGTCTCCTCCTCCTGTAATCGTGCTCTTATACTCCGACTCCTAAACTCCTATTTCCAAACTCCAGCTGCTATACTACCTCCGAGTCCTCAACTCCAACCCCCCAGATTCCTACTCCTGTACTCCTACTCCTATACTCCTATACTCCGACTCCGAGCGTCCTAGTCCCACCCCCTACTCCCACTCCGACTCCTGCTCCTGCTGCTCCTCCTCCTACTGCAGTACTGCTCCTCCTGCTGCTGCTGCTGTTACTACGACGACGACTACGACGACGACGACGACGACTACTGCTACTACTACTACTACTACTACTGCTACTACTACTACTACTACTACTACTGGTACTGGTACTCGTACT